TCGTTATGGACGATGTTCCTTGAGCTGTACGGTGTGCCTCTCACTCTGCTGCTGTGATGAGATCCTACTGGCATGGACAAGTACACTCTGCAGCCCCATACAAGTTTATAATGATAGGTACTTATGCTGCTGCCTAAACGTAGCGGAGGATGAAGAGGTGTATGGACTGGTGCCAGAAGCAGCCAAAATAGAGAGAAGAAATATATGAGTGCACACAGAGAGAGAGAAAGAACGAGAGAATAGTGAAATTTCCTTCCACTACTATTGGGGTGGGTGTTGGCAGGACTCATTCAAGTGAGGGAGAACCCAATGGCGGGATCCATTGGAGTCAACTCTTCTTCTTTCCACACTTGAAGGGAAACCAATTAATATGGATTGAGAAACTCCTTTCATTAGCCACACCAGTACAACGGATTAGGCAGCAGTCTTCTGTCAGCACACAGAGAGATATATCTCAACAATAGAACGGTGAGATTGAGAAAGAAATGGATGTTACTAAACCAACAGAGGGTAATTCAAGAAAGGAACACTGCAAATACACCCAATAAAGAGAAATCAACACCAGGAATTACACACATCACAAAGGAACATACGGAACTATTCCAGACTGCAGTCCACTACCATCCACACAGTTAACACTAGAATCAGGCAGAGACTCAAGACTCACTGAAGAAGTACAAACATCAGCACAAGGTTCACATTACGCTGCAGAAGCAACAAAAACACACACATGGAACAGGTTCACTGATAGGAGTAGTAGATCTTGGCGCATCTTCATCACAGTCATACAAAGTGGGCATTGCCTAAATAGACTAGACTACACCATTAAAAATAAGAGCATAAAGAGAGAAAGGCAACACATCAATAAAATAAACACACAAACACAAACATAAACAAAACAAATCAACCTCCAACAGATAGACAAAAAACAAAAAAGAAATAATAACTCAAATAGCGCCCAATTAAAACAAATAAAACACAATACCCAGTATTAAACAGAAAATCTTAATTATCTCTGAAAGAAAAATATATAAATAATTAAAAAGTGCGACCAACAAGAGCAGGAAATAGAGAAATATATAGCTCTTGATTGGGTGGTCAGCATATAGCAAATTATAAATTTATGTAACAGTTATTATATTTTTTCACTCTGCAGAAAGCAGATCATAAAAACGG